CTACACAAGTTTAATTCACTTTTGAAGGTACACATTTTCAACAAGTAGATGGTGTTACTATGATTAGCTTTTTGCGACTCTTCTTAATTGATCTAATTATAACATTTTGAAAATATGACGAGTGAGCTCATCTGCAAAGTAACTTTGTATAGGAGATAAATGAATGATATACTAATCATATGTGATAAAGAGTTCCATGCTGCTCAGTTATTACATAAGCTCTGTAGTGTACGGAATGATGTTGTACTCACTTATAAGGAAGAAAGTAACAATCGATTGCCCTTTTCATACACACTTTTGAGTCAATGAGGCAATCATTTCATAGAAAGCCAACCTAGACTGAGTAATAATTAAATTTCCACAATGTAGGCCTAATTACTACTAAATGATTACAACACATCCCATTATTATTATTATTATTATTATTATTATTATTATTATTATTATTATTATTATTATTATTATTTAAACACATAAATATGGGTACAAAAAAGCACCAGATAAATATGCGCCTCCCAAATCTCATTCGATTTGTGTGAGGGCTGTGATACTGCCCATGTGCCCAGAATGAAGCAGGTGGTTTTCTTAGGGGGCCACACCCGGAGCCTTTGACCTGAATGTCTAACCCACAAGGCAGTGGAGCATCGTAAGCAGATGCAGTCCCATGGTAGCCGGTGACCAACAACAGGTTCATTCGCCATTCGTTCCTTCAGGATACTGGAGTCCGTGTGCACCATTGGTTTGGAATCAGGGTTTTCCAACTCCCCTAGGTGGACTTTCCGTATCCACCAACCCGGTTAAAGCGCCGGACATTCGCTTTTCGTCCTCTCACTTTCGTAAACCACACCCCCGCCACGAGAAGGCAGTGATTAGGACTTCCCTGGCAGAGGCTATATATTCGCTGGCCATATGAGAGTATTTCGAGAGGGAGAGAGGACTCTCCCCACTCTCGGCCGTACCAGGGCATTGACCATTTCGCATATTTGTAAGAACACATATACGTAGGAAGGAGTAATCGAACAGTCCAATCAACGGTTGTAGAACATTTGTGTAGGGCCATTAAAATGTCACTGAGTCCTAGACAAATTATCCGGCAGTTGGGTCTCTAAGTATCGAACAGATCATCGGTCCCTGTCAAACTCAAGGACAATCAACGCTCACCAGTCGGTCATATGCCATGGAGTGACACATGCGTTGATGGTCTCAACATATTCTCTGTACTCATTCTTACTAATATATTTCCGTAATAACGTCCTCTGTGTTATACGATCTTCAGATCAGTCATAGTACCTTGATATGTCGAAGGGGTAATCCACGTTAGATGTTGACCGTGAGATGTGACTTCGAAGTTAGTTGGTTCGTCACATCATTCCCTTCTAACTCGAGTACACCCCCAATCATTCAGCATAGATAATCTAACTTAGTGATCTACATGTGCATAGATGACTCCACAACTAATTAGTGTAGGATGCTTCGACAAAAGTGAGAAGTAGAAAACCATGTTCATCGATAACAAACCATATAATTGCAACGGAACATAGAACTAACATCAATACAGCCTTTTAAATATTGTGTAAAAATTGTCAAGGATAAATTCTTAGGTTCATAGAAGCCTTGAATTTTCGTAAGTTCAAAGCCCCTTAATGTGTTTAGAAACAATAAATTGTAAGCTTGAATTTTCCTTAGTAATATGTAAGTCATCTTATAGTCCAGAATAGTGCGACTATTTCCTATTCCTTTCATACTACGTTAATCTTCTCTCTCTCTTGTTTATCATTATCACTTTGTTTACTTGAACTTTCATTTAGCTACACAAGTTCAACATTAAGATTTACAAAAACAATTTGGACATTTAATCAGATTTCGTAAATCTTCAAAAGATTAATTAAGACTAATCTGCATACTTTTAAGAATCATTATTGTATTTCTAATGAATTTAGATGAATTTATTTAATTAATGTAATTAACCTACCACATCAATAATTTTGTATTCAACTTTGACTGACAATAATGTGGGAATTATTGAAATAGACTGAAATCTGTCCTCTCTTAGCTAAATATTAATCATATATGAGATACTCAGCAAAGATACTTAAGTTTCACAACTTTTTAAAAAAAACGAGTACATCAATTCTAACAGTACTTATGATGTTACTGAACTATTAACAAACTGTCCCAAACATTAGACATTGGTCAAATCACAGTTTTCTATATTCGGACATTTTATTAAGAACTCCATAATTTATGAACAATACTATGGGAGCCCATATGAAACAGATTAATTACAAGTACGTTATATTTTTATCTAATTCGATTTTGAAATCACACTAACTCTATATAGTTAAGAGCATGAGTCAATTGAAACTAGACAACCATGGAAAACCTGGAAGCACCTTTTTTGATAACCGTTTCGTCCTGTTGTGTGACTCCTCAGCAATGCGCATCCACGATCTCACCTCACGAGATTCAAACCCAGGACCTATCAGTCTCGCGCGCGAGCGCTTAACCAGTAGACCACTGAGCTGGCAGGCGTCCAACGGTGTTAATGTCCAACTTCAACAAATCCACGAAATCGAGCAATCATTCACGAATGTCTTCAGTTAGTTACTATCTCACAACAGACCTGGTTGAACTCTACTGGTCACTGCTTCTCTCTAGAACTCCAGGGAATACCTGCCTATTGTATGGGGCGGAAACCTGGAGAACTTCAAAAGTCATCATCCAGAAGATACAGGTGTTTATTAACAGTTGCCTACGCGAAATACTTCGGATCCGTTGGTCAGACACTATCAGCAACATTCTACTGTTGTAGAGAACAAACCAGATTCCATCCAGTGGAGGAAGAAATCAGGAAGAAGCGCTGGAAGTGCATAGGACACACACTGAGGAAAGCAGACAACTGCGTCACAAGCCCTCATGTGGAATACTCAGGGTCAAAGGAGAAGAGGAAGACCAAAGAACACATTACTTTGAGAAATGGAGACAGACATGAGAAGAATGAAAGGAAGTTGAACAGAACTAGAAATGAAGGCCCAGGACAGAGTGGGTTGGAGAAAGCTGGTCGGTGACCTATGCTCCATCGGAAGTAACAGGCATAAGTAAAAGTAAAAGAAACTTCTGCATATTATTGTATTCATAATATTTTTAGTTTATTAAATGTCAGTTTATCTTTGTTTCATTTTATTTTCTACTAACCACTTCTTTTACGAAACTCTTAACCAAGTCAAAATGAAAATTGAACTTGTTATTACCAAAAATGTCAAATGAAAACATCACAGTTGTTGATATATTTGCCTATGTGTCTATCTGTTATCAGGACAAGACTCGATTACATTAGAATCCATGTGCATAAAGTATTATATGAGTGTAATGTAGTAACTACTATGTCAATCCCACACAATCTATTTCAGCTTATGGACAGACTGATTTATTCATTCTCCTCAAGCCATATTTTGACCTTGTCATTTATTCGCTTGTTAACGCTGACTGTTTTTTATATGATCATATGTGTGTTAATTAAATACCCTATTCACGATGTGTCTGCAACCTATTTTTGTTTAACTATAAATATCGATTCACATTTGGTTAAATCGAGTTGGCTCACATATCTTCTTCAATCTGTTCTGCTTCTCTTCCTCTCTTCTTCGATCTCTTCGCTGAGTTTCCCTGATTGTCTGTTCAGATCAATAATTGTATGAAATATACGTATTCTGAATCCATTTTCACATTTTATTTATTTGGTCCCATTATTCTTTAACGCGATTTAAGTCGATAATTATATACGAGGGTAATCGGGATGTGTATTTCGATAACAATCACATGATCACATGATATTTCCTTGAAAAAGCTTGAAACAGATTGTCAGGCGAAAAGTTGGATTTACTACAAATTCATTCGCTGAGAATTTACAAATATATTATTCCTATTTAATGTCTTACATCAACTCGGCGCCTAAATACTGTGAAACTATTCGCTGTAATTTAGAAGAAAGTTCTTATATATAGATCACATGATCTAATTCGAGTCAAATATCGGGCCACTAAAGTAATACAACACAAGTTGTCTATCATAGACAATATGTAATGGGAAATTTTATGAGTTCAGAACGAATCCAAACTCATCTCGGATTGGTAGTAAATAATATTTGATCACTATTTTACAATCTTCAATGCTTTGTCTAAATTATAAGAATTAAAGTAAATAGATAAACATTTCAAAGTTGAAATCATGAGTGAATTGAAGCTAGACCACCATCGAAAACCTGGAAGCACTAGACGGCCGTTTCGTCCTATTATGGGACTCCTCAACAGTGCGCACCCACGATCCCGCACTCGCGAGATTCGAACCCAGGACCTACCAGTTACGAGCCAAAGCCCTTAACTCATAGACCACTGAGATAAACATTCTTAATTAAACATTAAAATAATAATTAGAATAGGAGTGTGAAAATTGTCAAGTTTAAAAATTATTATCATGAATGGATAAATATTAGACTACCATTGAAGACCTGGAAACACTGAATGGTCATTTCATCCTAGTATGGAACTCTTCAACAGTGTTCACCCATGATCCCATACTCAGAACTTGAACCGAGGACAAAAGCTTAACCTCTATACCACTTAGCCGATATCCAACACTGTCAATATTTCATAATTATTATTCAGTTATTATGATAAGCTTTACGTTTTTTTTTTCATTTCGTTTTTTTTCATATCTATAAATAACACTGAATTGAATAAATTTAATTTTAGTTAAATGATTGGTTTAATTCTCTTAATGTTTACACATTATATTAACCAATCAAAAAATCAGGATAAAAATTAACTCATATAAAATTAAGATTTTGTAAATAATAATATTATTTTTATATTTTCATTATGATTAACTTGATTAATTCTGAAAATTAAAAAAAATTTATTCTTCTATCAAAAAAAAAAATAATTTTTCAAAAATAAAAAAAAATTTTTGTTTTTTTAAAATTTTTCCAACAAAAAAAACACAATTAATACTAATTCAATAATGCCATGTATAAATGAAAATTCTACAAAATTACTTATTGAAGAAATTATTATGTTAAATTTTCGTGCTTATATTATACCAATTTTTATTATATTTGGTATAATTGGATGTAGTTTTATTATAAATAGTTTTTATTCAATACAAAAATTACAACCATCTAGATTTAATATTTATATAATATGGATTACAATATTTCAATATGTTGATTTAATAATGAATACATTATTAGATGATTTTTTAGGACGTGGTTTAACATGGGCAAGTGATTGTATTATATTTATTAAATTAGATATTATTACATCATTTACATGTAAATTAATGAATTATATACCTTATACATCTGTATTAATATCTAATATATTATTAGTTATATTTAGTATTGATCGTTTATTAACTATTATAAAACCAATAAAATTTCGTGGAGATTTATATTTATTGTTACCAAGGTTATTTATTATTTTTATAATTTTTTTAAGTATGTTATTATATTTACCACAATTAATTTATTCTGATTTAATTAAATCAGATAATACATCATTAATAAGTAATTATACATGTCAATATGTTAATTCATTATATTTTGGTGTACAATATAGTTTATATTTATCAACTATTGGGGGTTATATTATACCAACTATATTAATAGCTATTATCAATATTATTATTATATTACGTTTACAATATTTAACTAAAAATAGACAATTATTAAATGGGAAACGAAATTCTATTATAAAAAATAAATATTATATTAATAATAATATTGTTAATAATAATACTAATAATAGTAATAATAATACTAATAATAATATGATTAATTTTATTAATAATAGTAATATTAATAATAACAATAACAATAATAATAATAATAATCGTCGTCAATATTCAATATCCAATCAATCAATAATCAATATACAAAAACAATCATCTAATGAATATTATAATGAAATGAAAAGAATTATTGGACATTTAATAGTAACATCAATTTTTTTATTATTTTCTATACCATTAATTGTTATAATAATATTAAGACAAAAATCAGATATTTTAAATTATAATCAAATTTATCCAATTTATTATAAACGTTTAATACATTTATCAAGATTATTTAGTTCATTTACATCAATTATATGTACATTTAATTTTATTATATTTTTTATATTTTTACGTAATTTTCGTTATATGGTTTATTTATCAATTTATACATTACCATTCATTAAAACAACAAAATATTCACAAAAACATATTGAAAATATTGAAATTAAATTATCAAATCGTTTAAGAAAACGTTTTAAACAATCAATTGAATTAAAATTAATACAAACTACAATGTTACAACAAAAACGTACTCAATCAATAATTGATTAATTAAATGAATTGATTAAAGGTGATGATGATGATGATGATGATGATGATGATGATGATGATGATGATGATGATGATGATGATGATGATGATGATGATGATGATGATGATGATGATGATGATGATGATGATGATGATCATGATGATAATGATGATGATCATGATTATGATGATGATGATGATGGTGATAATAGAGGGAAAAGAACTTTGACAAACGGATAATACTTTGTTTTCTTGTCTACTTTGGTTCCAGTTTATAATAATAATAATAATGAAGAAGGAGTTAATCTAAAGTGAACTTGATAAAGCGACATATATTTTTCTTTTCTTTCAATGGTTGTTAACTGATTTTTTTTTATGTGATTGTATTTTACTGAATTCATTTTATATTGAATATGAATAAAAATATTTTACAAACTTTATATATGAATAATTGTTTTTATAATAAAAAATGTCTTTTGGCATTATAGTGACATGATTAGCATGGATAGCGCATAAGTTGGTGTCTTCAACCAAGTCCAACCAATTAGACTTCGCTAGCTTCCTGAAGAGCAGACATGGCTTAGGTCTGGAATTGTAGATCGGTCTTGTAGTCCCCAAAAACCCTGGTACGGCCGATAGTGGGCAGATTCCGCTCTTCCTCTCTAAATACTCTCACATGGCCATACGTATATAGCCTCTGTCAAGGAAGTCCTTCTCACTGCCTTCTCGAGACATTGCTGTTGTTTACGAAATTGAGAGGACGAAAAGCAAATGTCCTGCGCTTTAACCGCCTTGGTGGACACAGTGAGTCCAACTACGGGAGTTAGAAAACCCTGATTCCAAACCAATTGTGCACATAAACTCTAGTATCCTGAAGGAACAAATGGAGCATGAACCAATTATTGGTCGGTGGCTACCATGGGACTACATCTCGTTACGATGCTCCACTGCCTTGTGGATCAGATCTTTAGGTCGAAGACTCAGGTTGTGATCATCTAAGAAAACCACTTGCTTCAGTTTGGACACCTGATCAGTATCACAGCCTTCATACAATTAGATGAATTGACAATTTTTTTGTGGCGCATATGTATCTGATCCCTCTTTGTACCAATATTTATGTGTTTAAATTAATTAAGATAAAATTGACAATATGATAGTGGTATGTATATTTTGAAATGAATAGTTACTGAAAAGAATAGTAGTATATTAGAAAATGAAAGCTGTTACTCTTAAAAGTTAGCTAATGCTTGAAAATCAATAAAGTTTAAGATATTTTAACAGGTTTTAATTGTGATTATTTTTTAACACAGTTCCCCATTGAGTTAAAACCGAAAGATTAATTCTTGTAGTAAGCATATTATAGTAGATCCCTAAAATAAGGTCGGTATAGATTTATTGAGTCTACTTTTGTAGTGCGTCATTAATTTTTAGCTTGTTAAATCACTCTGTATTTTCTAATGTAAGTTAAGATAATGTAGATCATTGAGAATTTCTTCCAAGTTCCAATGTGTATAAAAGCTTGACTCATCAGTTGAGTTTGGAAAGTAGTTTATGTTGATGGAAAAGAAATGAAAGGTGTCAAGATAATATTTTGTTCATGGTAAACCCTAATAAATCATTACTGTAGCTACTTACATTTAGTTTTTGTTTAATCATTCCAAGCAGGATCTCAGTGGTTTGTATAAGTGATTCAAACTAACAGTGATATCGGATAAACTATTCTAGACATATCACTTATATCCGCATCCAGCATACTTGTAACATTTTATGTACAATAAGAATTTCGTTGTGAAAACTAGTTGGTGTTCAAAGTTCACTCCTGATAAGATTATTTTCTTTACTTTCAAGTATGATTTGATTGCGGCATCAAGGATGGATTAATTTGTCAATATGAAATCATGAAAGCTGGCCTATGAGTCATGACGAAATGTGAAAAATTTTATAGATTAAAAACGGATTATTTAGTGGTTATTCAGATGGTTATTAGAAAATTATGCTATAACCTAACCACAACGAATCGTTTAAAAGGCGTTAGATCGTTTCATAACCTAAAGACTGCTCTTTCTTTTCAGGGAATCGACCAAGTTTTTCTTCGATCATGTTCTTGAACTTCTGAATAACCTGGGAATATATGAAATTGAGTTGTTTTTGTTTTCAGGAAAAGTTTTTTTCTGAGAATCTATTTAGAAATTTACAGCATATAATTATTCATTTATAACGTTTAAATCATCATTATTGCCAAAATGACATAAATTATACCTCGATATGTAAGCATTAATCATCTGTCTTTATAGAATAAAATCTCAATGGTGATTGATTGCATACAGAAAAAGATATGACAACATTTACAAAACATAAAAATACATACTTTCAACAAGTCTATTCACTTCATAGTTAGTTCAAAAGAGATTAGAATAAGATACTTCATTACGTTTGTAGTTGTAATTCAGTGTTTACAACATAAATAATCTTGTTTCCATGTTTGTATACTAAAATTTGCACATTGTTAACATAAATGATTGTCGACGTATGAAGATAATGAGAGAGATAACTATTAGTAGTATATCGACTAGAAGTAGTTGATTTAGTTTTGTAATTCACAAATTATTTGTTATATCCCGTATAGATTTATGAATGATAACTTTGAGTACTATTTATGGACCAATATGATACGTGTAATTCCTATTGTATAATTGTTAAGCAACTAAACTACTCATATTTGTGTCCCTCTTATTATAAGCTTTATTTTGACCTATAAACTATTATTATACGATTTACCATTCTTTAGTTATCCCCAGTTCATTAATTACTGTTCTCCCTATTCACAGCCACATTTGGCTAAATCTTGTACAAATATTATTTTCTATTTTATGGTACGATGCGGTCAGTTTGTTTGGTGTATAAACCCAGTATGTTTGAGAATAATGATTGATATTGCAGAGGCTGTTATTGGTGTTCTGGACTTAACTGGCTTGACTAGGCATATAGAAGGACTGATAAGTACTCAAGACTCCTCATACGGCTTTTGTGTATTATTGCTCTGATCGTTAACTCACTCCTCTCTGATTACTGGGGATTAGCACGTTCATATGATAACAGGGTACACACTCAATCGATTTAGCACTGTATAACTCAAAAAACTTTCCACGTTTGAAAAGTTATGGAACTTAATAAATCATCACTTTTACAAAAATGTGCCATCATAAACTCGTTTACTTTCTGTTATCCCATTGAATAACTGCACAGAATTTAGCATTAGTTAACAAAATATATTCTCATATACCTCAATAAAAGTTAAATTACATATACAAATGAAATACTTACATGAAAATTGAAATAATGAATAGTCATTTCAATAGTCTGAATATAAAATTTTGTCCCATAGACATAATGTTCATCCTTTATTGATCGACCTACTTGATTAATAAAAAGAATCAAAGGGGGTTTTGTTGAGAATTTAGTATTTTCACAGTTGAAATCATCAGTCAATTGAAGCTAGACCACCATGGAAAACCTGGAAGCACTGGACGGCCATTTCGTCCTATTATGGGACTCCTCAGCAGTGCGCATCCACGATCCCGCACTCGCGAGATTCGAACCCAGGACCTACCAGTCTCGCGCCAGATCACTTAACCGATAGACCACTGAGCCGGCATCCAACGATGTAATATAGGATGACTTATTATTTATTGACTTATTCTTTGTTTATTATTGTTTAAAACGAGCTACTTGGGGTCATTTTCGATCGCATGTATAGACAAATGCAAACAAATCTTTGTTTCGATTGTTTTGTTTGTTTGTTCTTTTTCATTTTTGTGTGGGCTCAATAATAACTATGTATTATAAAATGTTTATTTGACCTGATCATAAATTATATAGAATAATGAATTACATAATATCTTATTTTCACTTATCCAATGTGACCAGTTGCTGTTGCTGCTGTTGTTGTTGTTGTTGTCGTTGTTATTCATTTGATTTATCTATGTAAAACTAATTAATAAGTTAATAAGGAATTATTGTCTTTATCTAAAGTCATTTCATAGACATTTATGAAAGTTTATTTATTCAAATGACTGTCAGAAAATTGCAAAGAAATGTAGCACTAGTTTTCTTCCGACAGAAAACTGCTAAAATCACCTCATTTAATATGCTAATTATTCTGAGTTCCTTTTCATGCATATCAACAAAACAGAAAACAATTCCTTAAGAAAAGATGGATAGTGGCTAGCAGTGGAATTCCGAATGGGTGTTTCATCATATTTGGGACTCTTCAGCTGGATGTACCTGCATCCAACAGTTGATGTTCACTCCGGGACTGTAAACTAGTACTGTTTGCTTCAAACGCCATCGAGTTATCCCGGAGTGAACATCAACTGTTGGATGCAGGTACATCCAGTTGACGACTTCCAAATAGGACGAAACGCTCATCCTGGATTCCACTGCTAGCCGCTATCCATCTTTGCTTATAATGCTTGTGACTTAAGGCAATATCGATGCAATCCGCACAGAATACACATATGCCAACAAGAGACTGATCAATTACAGTCATAAACATCAATGGAAAGATATAAGTAAACAACACCAAGCGAATCTAGAAGACAATTCCATTTGTAATAAATTTCAACTTTTAAATTTCCTTTAATGTATAAATTAATCTGTACAAAATGGACTAGGGATTTGTGCATAATGGTTAATAACCACTGATCGATTAATGTTAACTTAGCAGTCATGATAACAATAACAGAATAAGAGCATATTTTGTTGTGATAGAGTATGATGTGGGTAAAATGAATTGAGTTCATTATAGTTTTACCATTCAGTACAAGTGATCACAAAACCTAGACCTAGATATTCCTACCAATCACCAAAGATAACTCTCAGTAATTTAATAGTGAGTATGTACAGTTTCAGTTGATTTTACAATTCAATAGATGGGATAAAATAACGCTGAAATTTTAATGAAAATCACAGGTTAAACTCCCACTCTGATCACCTTTTTATACAGAATTTCGTAAACGTACTTCTGATACATAATATGTAAAATGGTACAGCTGATAAATCAC